TGCTGTTGTCCGCAAACCGAGAGAAAATAGCTCTAATGACAGGCCTTTGTTTTCCTCGGATGAAGAATGTTAAAACCTTCAAATTTTTATGGCACGTTCTAATAATTTTTTGACACATCAATCCGGATTTCGCTTTTTTGTTAGGACTGTTATTTAATAGTAAACAGTATTTTATGCCGATGTCAGCGATCTTCAATTTTCTTTGATGAACAATTTTTAGAAGTTTTCCACTCTGCTTTCTCTCTTGTTATTGTTGCTAATGTTGTTTTTTTAGTTTTTCTTTTTTGTAATTCCTTCTTTGTAATTCATTGCCATTTCGCTTATCCCTTTCTCAGGTTTTATTCGCATGTTTATTGTAGTGTAATTGCTTTGTACAGAATAAAGAGAAACAAACTTGCCTGCATTTTTGTTGATAGATAACTCCTGACTCTTTTAAGCATTTTACAACTACCCTCACTAAATCTGAAGAAAAAGAGAGACTGCGGGCTCGCAGTCCAGCTTAGTGAGGCATCCATCCTCAGACTGTGACACGTAATTGACAGTTATCCTGTTATTCCTGGCTTGCTTCAACGATCAACTAAATGTATGCAAAACTGAAAAGAGTTTTACAATTCAAAAACTTGAATCATTCGATGTAAAGTACATGTTCGTTATTTCAACCCACTTATTAGTGTTATTGTCGTCTTTTTGCAAATTGAAAAGATCAAAGTCAATTTGAACTCATTCGGCAGACCTTTTCTTGGCCATTAATTACGGTTCGTTCACGTTCCCACACGCTACATCATCGTGGTAAATGTCTTGTACATAACACTCGAAAATGAACGGAAATTGTCAAAAATTAAATTATTATTTTGAAGTAGCGTGGCTCCGGCTGTCAAAGAAGCCCAAACAAAGCGTCAAAAAGGCCATCTACTATTAAGGTGCTCGTTGAACAAATTAATCGCGCTAATGAATGCGAAGAATAAGATTTTAGTTCAATTGTTGACTTAATCCTTTGCACTTCGCTTGTCTTTGTGCCGCCCCAAGAAACACGTCAAAGGCAAAAGATTATAGAGAGCAAATAATCAGTATGGTAATGTTTTAAGTTCCTTTGTACTGAAAATGTAACCATGGAAGATGAAAGCTCTTTGGAAAACTAAAACTCAATAAGCCGGCGGCTAGCGTCTCCAAGCGATATTCTCGTTCTCATGTCGGCCCTAGCGGTCAATAACTCTCCTTTTCAACTTCTCCTTCAAGATATCGGAAAGGAATTGAAGTTAAGTGATGTTCGTTACATGAAATATCTTCTTCAAGGCCATGTTAACAAGGAGACTTTAGAACATCTTGACTCGGGACAGGAGCTCACGAAGGTTCTCCAAAAAAGTGGTTTGGTTTCAGAGAAGAAATTAGCGTTTATGAGAAAACTCTTAATTGAGGCCAAGTGTTTAAAGCAGGTGAACTTAGTGGACGAATTCAGGGAAAAGTTTAATTCTGTTTCTATAGTGGGTAAGTGACAAGTTTTAATTGATGTCATTACATTCTTTAACAACTAGCCTTTTTGTCAGGTCGGAGCACTGTCGGAGAGTAGAAAAATCTCGCCTTGTATTCGCGGTTTACTGCAGATTTAGATTTTACTGATTTTACAGATTACTGATTTCAGGAAATCCAGAAAATAAAAGTGCATGGTGATTAGTGTTTAGACTGAAATGATTACCGTTTGAAACTTAATATATTTATCTACTGTAATCTTCTTATTCAGGGTGATGTGACGCCTGCAGCTCTATAAAGTAAATTGCATCTTCATTGACGCCTTCAGCCGCTAAATTAATCACCAACATGGTTATTTATTTTCCTTCTTCCCCAAAAATATGCTTTTAAATTCTTTCTGCTACTCTGCTGTTGTTTGTTTGTTTTTTAATAAACATCCCTTGTCAAGGCAGAAAGCCCAGTTGGAATGCCGCATAAGAAAAGTTTTCCAGACTTCCAGTTTTCAATTTGCCCGCAAAGTAACCGCACTTGTTAAGTTTAGAATACTCCAAATTCTTTATTATGCCATCGGTAAAGATCAGTTACACGTCTGTTTTTTCATTTGTCTGTCGTGCGTCGCATCAGTCTGTAGTCCTTTGTTATCAAATATCATCAGTGTCATTATTATTATTACAACCATTATCGTCTTCATCATCATCATCATCATTATCATCATCAGATTACAATTAATGCCCGAAAGCATCACTCTAGAGAAACTGTCCACAGCCTTCATATTCTCAGGAGCTTATAAACCGGGAGTGTCCAATTCCCATACTTAGCCTTGGAATCATTTCGAGCACTTTTCCTCGCGAAAATGGAAGCATTGTCCCGTACGCATGCGCATCTATAGTACAATTATTACGAAAAGAAGAAGAAGTAAATACTATCAAAATACTAGATACAGTCAACTCTCTCCAAGACGGACACCTTTGGGACCGGCACTAAGTGTCCGTCTTAGAGAGATGTCCGTCTTATAAAGAGTCAAATAAAGGGAATAAGCAAAGGCAGGGACCAACTCTAGGTGTCCGTTTTACAAAGGTGTCCGTCTTATAGAGGTGTCCGTTAAGAGAGAGTCGACTGTATACTTTTTTTCTCGGCTAGTCTCCGGTATTTGATGACTGATTTGTAAGAGTTATTTGATGGTCAAAATTCGTGGGAAAATCGATCTAATAATAAGCTGGTCTATGTAAACACCGTTGCACAAGCACAAGGGAGTCAGGCTGACTCCGCCTTATGGGCTCCTATATTCTATAGTTTTTTGTTCTATTAGGTTTCTCCTGATTTGCCTGGTTATGTTAGTCAAGTTCACTCCATTGATTAAAGTGTGTTATTTTAAAACTTCCCCTTAGGTGAACGACAGCAGAGCAATAGAGCATCCAGATTGAACAACAGGCGTGAAACACTTCTACGCATGATCGAAAGTCTGGAAAATGAAATTAAAGTGTGTGAAGACGCCGAAACAGAATTTTCCAATCAGATTAAAGAATGCGAAGTGCAAATCCATGCCAACAACCAAAACCTGGTCGGAGTCGAGGATGCGATTCAAAACTTAAAAAATAACATTGTTGAATATGAGGCCGATATAGAATCGTTTGAGAGAAAATTGGAGACTGTACGTTTCTTCATGAAAAAACGACAAGTGGAATTAGACAAAGTCAAACAGAAACTTGATGTAAACCAAAACAGTGCAAGCATCAAGAAAGAATTGAAAGAAAGGCAAGAAGAATATGAAAATTCTAAGAGGAGCGAGGATGAGCTTATCGCGAAACATCAACACGCTTTGGACATGGTAAGAACAACGCACGTGGAGATCAGACACAAAATACAGGACGCAATTAATCTGGAAGATAACATACACGACTTGTTGATGCAGGTACGAGTGCTTAAACAAAGCACGAGAAAACATCAAAGGACCTCAACGGAGTTACAAGAAAGACTTGAGAATCTTTCGCTTGAACTTGAAGACACAAGGCGTTTGAAACCCTTGACTCCTTTCTCGAGACCCAGGACTGAATTTTCGTTACGCTGTGACACTGCAAACGAGCCACAAACAACAAGAAGACTGGAGTATAAGGTATGTAACAGAACTGAAAGCAAGAGAGCGCGGATATATACGACACCTTGAACTGCTAGCACTTTCATTGTAATTTTACTTGGAAATCCCAAACCTTACTTCATGTTATAATGCAATACAATGACTTTATCTCATTGTTAATTAAAGTAAGTAGGACACAGTTTGGTGGGGTGATTCTGCTCAGTCATCCCCCCCTCCTCCGTACCACTGTGACCACCCAATGTTCAAAACGGAGATGCGACTATTTATCTTTGACATGTTCCCTAGTTTTACTTACTCTTACATTTTTATTTCTTTTCCTGTTGCTATCTTTTCTATATTGTAAAGATTTTAGACTACGGTGAGATTACAGAACGAGAATCAAGGGCAGTTGGCCGAAAAGGGAAACGTGTGAGTCCACCCCAGTTCCAGTTTCCTGTGAGCGTTGCCGTTGATAGACTAGGAAATGTTTACGTGGCTGATTATGGCAACGCGCGTGTTCAAATCCTGGATCTAGATGGTCATGTGACACGGGAACCACTTAACATAGGCGGGAAATGTCGACCATGCGCTCTGGCGGTCAGTCTGAGAGGAGACCTGGTAATGACCGACTCACAGATTTTAAGGGTGTTTAGCAAAGCTGGTAAGTAGGTTGTTGTTGTTGTTTAGTAGAAAAGAGTTCGGACGCACAGAAATGGCTGGGAACAAATAACCATGAATGTGAAAAGTTATTTCTTTTCCAGCCGTGCAGGTTGTACTTTTTCTCTCCTCAGTCTCTCGAATGCGATTCTTCCTTTAAGACCGCAGAACCAGCATAATTGCTCATGAATTGAACTTGTAGCATTGGGAAACCCAGGATAATAAATTGAAAAGATTCCGTGCAACTCAATGTAGAGGATTGGAAAGGGAACAACTCTCAAGAAAATCCGTTTTGAATTTTCAGCTCAATCGCTAGAAGTGCGCTACTAGCTATGCTCTTTCAGAAGTGACGAGACTTCGCAGATAGAGGGATTGTGGAAAAAATAAACGGAGTGTAAGAGAGTCAGCACAAGCCTCTTGTGAATTCATGGTCGCCAGCAGCAGTGGGCGAAACTGCAGTATGGCTTTGCACATGCGTGTAATACTGACCGCTGAGATCAGTTGAGATCAGGACAAACAGTATTTTGTATCATTTCTTCTTACAGGTGAACTTCTTCGACCAATTTTACCCGTCTACAGTAAGAACGACAAACGACCAGAGCTGAGCGCTGTTGCATTTGATATCCAGGGAAATATCTACGCTGCTGACAAAGCGAATAACAGGATACAAAAGTTTACTTTCGATGGAAACTTTCTTTACTTTATCGGTGGACTACACGACTTACACTGCCCCGTGGGAATTGTTGTTAAGAGAAACGGTGAAGTCATCGTAACTGAATACGAGAATCACCGAATCAAAGTGTTTAGCCAAGAGAACTTAGGACAGAGTATTACGATTGGCGCAGTGGGGGTGGGGTCGGGAAAGTTTTCTTGCCCAAGGGGAGTGGCACTTGATCAGCATGACAACATCGTGGTAGCTGACAGTCAGAACCACAGAATTCAAGTGGTTTCTTCATCTGGTGAACCTCTGGGGACATTCGGAATGATTGGCTCAGAACCTGGATATCTTGATACCCCGTATGATGTTGCCATGGATCCAGCTGGGAATATAATTGTAGCTGATGCAAAGAACCATAGGTTGCAGGTTTTTACTCGATTAGTGCCTGTTTATACGGAGCACGCGACTTATGAAGAGGAGTATGAGGCTTCGGTAAAGAAAGAAAATAGCGATGAAGTAGTGACGTACAATTCTGATGAAGACCGGCTCCAATTTTGCATCGATGATCTCGTTGGCTTACCTTCTGAACCTCGTGAAAGTTCTAATCGAGACAGTGATCAGAAAAATAAAGACGCAAATCTAGAGACCAGAAGTGTAAGGGTCAAAGAGAAAAGTGTAACCACTGAAGGCTGCAGTGACGAGCCACTAGTGAAAACAAAACAAATTTGTGAGAAAGGAGACACTAACAATAATGTTGTAGATTTTGTGTAAATGTTAGATACTACTCATGATGTTTTTTAGTTACCTTTAATCTAGAATTTTTTTTTTTTTTAAGTATCGTGGTCAATTTATTTTCCAGTTCGTTACAAAAGTTCTGTCAAGCAACCAAGATCTTAGTTAAGAAATTACATTTAGAAACAATTCTATTGCAAGCAGTATTAGGGCATTCAATTTTAAGTACCCATTTTACCGTTGATGCTGGCACCTACTGGTAATCAGTATTTTCTCTCCAACCGTCAGCCGTGTAGTTTTTAACAAAAAAGAATTTACTCTTCTTCCTAACACGAGAAAGGAACCACTATCAGAATCAGAATCGCTCTCTAGTTAATTGTTAAGGTTACAGTTTTCCATTGGAACTTTTGTACTTTACTGAGTTGAAACTGAAACCAAACATAAGACAGTTTCAATTCTCACAGTTGCGTCGGCTCTTTACCTTGAGAAACCTGTTGCGATTTGATTGAAAGAGATATTCGCACGGTATGATTTTAAACAGCAGCATATGCAGAGATACAAAAACGACAAAACAGTATTCTAATACAGTCAAACTGTCTCCTTCATAAGCCCCTCTACTATTGCTTAACTACGTGCAAACAAAAGTACAGGGCTATCCTGGACCGACATTTTTTATCACATGACCCTCAAAGGTATCACGTGTCCTTTTCAGATGCGTTCTCTTCGTCGGACAGCCAAGGCTCTTGCTGGAGCTGTTCCACTGTTATTCTCTCTGCTAAATTCCATTGTAGCATTTTGTGAATAACGGCTTTGACTGAATCAGGTACTTTAACCTTAGAAGGGAAGTTCACTCTACGGTGAACCTGTTGCAGAAGGCTCCGTAAATTGGAGTCGTCAAACGGAAGACGGCCACAAATCATGGTGTATAGAATCACGCCCATACTCCATACATCCGCAAGTGTCGCGTCATAAGCTATACCTAAACAGATGGCAAACAATAGAAAAGTTTGTTGTCTAAATTTAAGCAAACCGCCCTCTATACCCAAAATGATCTCGCTCTCTCTTGCGAGTGTTTCAATCTGCTATTTTTTTTTAATCTCAAAACTTTACCAAGACCTAATTAAAACAAATTTGCAGTCCGTTGTTAGACGTGAGAACACGTAACTAGTGCCAAACATGGGAAAATGCCAGCAAAACTGGCGAAAAGTAAAGTAAAGTAAAAAAATTATTTACCCTGCAGAAATGAATCAGCAACACAAAGTATTGCTGGTATAAACTCTTGTGTAGCAAACTTTATTCATATATATCCTAAAACCATGAGAAAATCTAAAGCACGGGAAAGAATACGAAGCAATTTCCAAGAGCGGGAAGATCTGCGTGTAAGCAACATCACGCTTAGGGCGATAAAGCAAACAACTGCACGCTGCTCAAATACTCTCACTCACAGATTTTCGAACAAAAGAGAGACTGCTCGCAGTCTAATGGATGTCGGTCCGCCAAAGGATATCATCTTAGCTTGAGAGCATACTAATGGTCGAACATCAGGGTGTGTATAGACACAAAGTTGCGCGCGTGTGAATTTTGAAGTTAAGACTATGGATGGAGATAGCCTCCTCCGCAGCCAACTCCGCTGAGAGAGAGGAGTCTGAGGACGAGAAAAAGAGAAAAAATTTGGTGGAGTTTGCCATCACTGTCACTCTTCATTCTCTCCGCATTCTCACACTCGTTCTCTATTAAAAACAGGACAGTGAAGCCTGCGGAAGAGGCTAGGGTGGAGAGATGATTATCATGCGCGCACGTACGAGTTTTTTTTCTTGATCAGGTGGTTCAGGTGACAACTGGCTTACAAGTCTTTAGCAGAAAGGCAGAAAAAAAAAATAGGAGTATCTAGATACAAAAGCCCATAAATAAGTTAACATTATGAACCACACTACCTTTTAATATTTCAGGAGGTGCATAGGCATAAGAACCACAGTAGGTATGACAAAGTTTCCTTTTCCCCGTTGCCGAGGTCAGGTTGTCTCGAGCAAACCCAAAATCAGATATAATAATATTCTTGTCTTTATCCAATAAGAGATTTTCNCTCTCACTCACAGATTTTCGAACAAAAGAGAGACTGCTCGCAGTCTAATGGATGTCGGTCCGCCAAAGGATATCATCTTAGCTTGAGAGCATACTAATGGTCGAACATCAGGGTGTGTATAGACACAAAGTTGCGCGCGTGTGAATTTTGAAGTTAAGACTATGGATGGAGATAGCCTCCTCCGCAGCCAACTCCGCTGAGAGAGAGGAGTCTGAGGACGAGAAAAAGAGAAAAAATTTGGTGGAGTTTGCCATCACTGTCACTCTTCATTCTCTCCGCATTCTCACACTCGTTCTCTATTAAAAACAGGACAGTGAAGCCTGCGGAAGAGGCTAGGGTGGAGAGATGATTATCATGCGCGCACGTACGAGTTTTTTTTCTTGATCAGGTGGTTCAGGTGACAACTGGCTTACAAGTCTTTAGCAGAAAGGCAGAAAAAAAAAATAGGAGTATCTAGATACAAAAGCCCATAAATAAGTTAACATTATGAACCACACTACCTTTTAATATTTCAGGAGGTGCATAGGCATAAGAACCACAGTAGGTATGACAAAGTTTCCTTTTCCCCGTTGCCGAGGTCAGGTTGTCTCGAGCAAACCCAAAATCAGATATAATAATATTCTTGTCTTTATCCAATAAGAGATTTTCACATTTCAAATCTCTATGCACTACATCTTGACTATGCACGTAGGTGATTCCTGTAACTAGTTGTCTAAACAAATGCTTAACAGTTGTTTCAGGTATAGCACCGTTCTTTCTTATAAACTCCAGCAGATCTCCGCTCTCGGCCAAGTCAGTGATGATGTACATTCGTGTGTTTGTCTCGATAACTTCTATGAGTGTAATGACATGGGGATGGTGTAATCTCTTCAGCACTTTTATCTCACGCGGAAGAAATTTGGATAGAAAATCCTCCGGTGCCTTCTTCTTGCATATTATTTTCACAGCAACGTTCTTCTTATGCCTTCTAGAGTATGCTTTTCTCACCACCGCATAGGATCCTTTACCAAGAATATCTCCAAGTTGGTAACCGTAACGCTCCAGCAAGGCGGTTACACCCGCGAGAGGATTCTCAACTCGACTCGTGCTCGATTCAACTTTTTCATTCTTTTCTGACTTTGCGGTTGTGTCTGAAGTCGGCTTTGATTCTTCCCCCTTTTGCGTGGTCTGATCTTTGTTGTCAGACATTTACGTTGTACCATTTGAGAAGTTTTTTTTGTTTTCTAAGGAGACATTCTAACCTTCGTCTTGATCTTATTCGCTCTCAAAAATATAATTGATTCCTAATTGCATTTATTATTTCTATGACGTAAGGCTCCATCAAAACGGAGTAATTTAAATTGTTAGCTAAAATTTAATTTACGGCGCTAATGGACTCTCTCGAAAAAGGAGACAAACTCTTGACAACATTTTTAAAATCAGCTCTCAAGTTTTACAAATTTTCCCGCCAATGTTTTGTTGAATTGAAACCATAGTAACTGGACATGCGCGATGCACGCCAGAAGAGTCACAGACATCACTCCGTTTATTCCAATAAAAAAAGACGCAGATAAACTCAAGAAAAAGAACAAGAAACACACGAAATCGTCCAAGAAAAGCACTAAAATGAGCAGTCCACGAGGACATAAGCCTCAGCAGCAATCGAAGGCGCCAAGAACAGAGCTAGACTACGAAATCGAACGACTAAAAGCAGAGATTCAACAAGAACGTCAAATGAAGTGAGCTAAAAACTTGAATTAAGTTCTGCAATTTGCTTCGATTTATTTGATCTGCTTTAATTTCATATTCTTATACCCCAATGTTAAGTTAACCGTTTGTTTGGTCTTTTGATTAAAATTTAAACAGGAAGTATAGTTTACAGCAAGTAGTTTAATCAGCTTTAAGTGTTGCCCGATCATTTTATGCTTCTTCTTCTTCTTCTTCTTTTTCTTCCATTACTTGGCTCCATCTTCAAAGATGATTTTTCCTTGCTTAAGTTATATAGCTTCTGTTTAAAAAAAATTATAAGCTTAATTGCTCTTTGTATACAATAATATTGTTCGTCTTTATTGTTTGGAAAGAATTTATGCCTGTCTTATGGGGTTCAAGTAAAAGAACACAGCGTCCGATAGCAAGATCTAGACCTTCATAAATTTTTATTAAGCTTATAATTTGAAGTGACATTGGCTCCCGAAAATGTACATTCGAGTATAGTAAACTGTTCATTTCTCTTTGATAGGGAAATGTTAGAACAGTCTTCAGGTGAACTTGACAAAACTATTGCTGATCTGGAGGAGAAAAGTAACAATGTGGAAGATGAAGGTACTAATTAATATAAATATAACTATCCTAAATTAACCTGACAGTGTCATTGATTAAAACNAACATTTTTAAAATCAGCTCTCAAGTTTTACAAATTTTCCCGCCAATGTTTTGTTGAATTGAAACCATAGTAACTGGACATGCGCGATGCACGCCAGAAGAGTCACAGACATCACTCCGTTTATTCCAATAAAAAAAGACGCAGATAAACTCAAGAAAAAGAACAAGAAACACACGAAATCGTCCAAGAAAAGCACTAAAATGAGCAGTCCACGAGGACATAAGCCTCAGCAGCAATCGAAGGCGCCAAGAACAGAGCTAGACTACGAAATCGAACGACTAAAAGCAGAGATTCAACAAGAACGTCAAATGAAGTGAGCTAAAAACTTGAATTAAGTTCTGCAATTTGCTTCGATTTATTTGATCTGCTTTAATTTCATATTCTTATACCCCAATGTTAAGTTAACCGTTTGTTTGGTCTTTTGATTAAAATTTAAACAGGAAGTATAGTTTACAGCAAGTAGTTTAATCAGCTTTAAGTGTTGCCCGATCATTTTATGCTTCTTCTTCTTCTTCTTCTTTTTCTTCCATTACTTGGCTCCATCTTCAAAGATGATTTTTCCTTGCTTAAGTTATATAGCTTCTGTTTAAAAAAAATTATAAGCTTAATTGCTCTTTGTATACAATAATATTGTTCGTCTTTATTGTTTGGAAAGAATTTATGCCTGTCTTATGGGGTTCAAGTAAAAGAACACAGCGTCCGATAGCAAGATCTAGACCTTCATAAATTTTTATTAAGCTTATAATTTGAAGTGACATTGGCTCCCGAAAATGTACATTCGAGTATAGTAAACTGTTCATTTCTCTTTGATAGGGAAATGTTAGAACAGTCTTCAGGTGAACTTGACAAAACTATTGCTGATCTGGAGGAGAAAAGTAACAATGTGGAAGATGAAGGTACTAATTAATATAAATATAACTATCCTAAATTAACCTGACAGTGTCATTGATTAAAACGTTTAATTCATTCTGGCGGAGATTTTCTAGGTTACCTGATGTCCTATTTAAACAACAATGATGACATTATTTACTATATAGCATTATGAAATCATTTTAATTGGAGTAAGGAGAAGAATAGTCAGTTCGTGTGCAGCCTTCTGTCCTGAAGGTTTTGAGTTTGAGTTGTAGGTAGATTCAACTTCTTTCCTTTTTAAAACAGCCATAAAATGGAACACTGATGGAGACAGAGGGGAAAGGGGAGGTAAAAATATTAGCACACTGTTGGCCTCAAGTTTGGTGGTCTATTAAATGGGTATTGTTAGGAGTTACCTACATGATATAATTAGGACCTTGGCTTTACTGTTATGAAAATCATATCATCCAATAATGGTTGAGTCTCTAGTCTCTCTGAGGAGTATAGAATGGTAAATTTGAGCCTTTGCGAGACTGTGACCCCGGTTTCAAAATTGAAGACTGAGCTTCAAAAAAAAATTGAGACACCGAGATGCAAAATCACCTGAAAACGCAGCTTCGAGACCTACCACAAACGTTTCCAAGATTTTGATGTAGGGCAAACATTTTCAGGGGCGCATTTTTCAAGGAACCATTCTGTACCCCTTCTCTGGTTAGCAGTTCACTTGTGCTGGGTTGAAAAAGCCTAGTGAAAATAGATGGAAAATTGATCATCATAGATGTGTGTGAGGTTAAATCACAAAAGAAGCCTGGAAAAATTTCATGGAGTCACATGGATTTGAACCCATGACAGCTTGTCATTATTGTCAGCTTGTCATTAGGAGCTGGTCAACAAAGACACTGTCGACCTTGGGTCAATTAAATAAAAATTTTACAGGTGCAATTTACAATTGTAGCCATTGTTTTAGAGTCTAACAACAACAGCTACACTTGTAAATTACATGTGTAAAAGTTCTATTTAATTGACCCCTGGATGTATCATTAAAAATTAGTGTTTTTTGATGTAGATAATGAATGGAAGACACGATTTGAGACACAGCAAGAAATGAATGACCAACTTGAAAAACAAGTTATTTTATTACGGGACAAACTGGGCCAGTTAAAGATTCCTTCCCGTGATGGTAAGCTTATTGCTGCCTTCTTCAGTGTATCATGTGTTAAAAAATTATCATTTAGCAAAGTCAGTGGTGGTTAATGATACTTAGAAAAAAATTAAGAAGCAAGTACACACAAGTGCAGTCGGAGGAAAAATCAAGTGCTGGCTTAAAATTTAAGCCAGCAGCATGAAAATCAAAGCATACATTTAATGTATGCTTTGATTTTCATAAAAAATAGCAAAAGCAACTTTGATTCGCCAAAGGAATTTACGATTATTATTCGAACAGATTTATTCAGTAGCAAGCCACCAGCAGGGTTTATTTTGGACCAGAAAGTTCCTGGAATTTTATTGTGGCATTTTCAAGACTTCACCAGATATATCACTATTGGGTGAATAAGATTATGGTATGGAAACCAATGCATTATCCATTTGGATAGGAATCTATTCAGAGGTTAGCACTATCCAAATTATAAGACTGGAAAGTCCCAACAATTGTTTGCAGGTTGTGGAAATATTTAAAGATAAAATGTTCATTTTCAGTCTTTAAAAACATTCTACACGAGTCATGGAAATTATTCCACTGAAACCTACAGCAGCATGTGTCGTGACTGCATCTTAATACATGTATGTGAAATTTTGCAGGGAAGCCAAGTAACCATCTCAAAACATACAATGGCTTATCAGATGTAAGTACAATTTTTGTTTTATTACGTAGAAAATATGCTCTTGATATCATAATGTATTCATGCTTTGAATAATTTTCAAATTCTACCCAATATCCACAATATGTATTTGTAGTAAAAAGTACAGGCTTTACTTCCATTGTATCCTCACTTGTCCACCATCAGGCAGAAATCAGAAAACTTATGAAACAGCTGGAGCGAGACAAGGTGGAACTTCAAGGACAGTTGCGTGATTTGGAATGGCGCTTAGACAATGAATCTAAGGTTGGTTGGCATTTTATACTGTCTCTTTACCTAGACAGACTTATCAAAGCCTCGTAGCTATGAACTAAGTTGTGAGAACATTACAAAGAATGAAGATCTCAATTATGGACAACAGCGGTACATCAACTTTGAGACAGATGATGAATAAATTTTTTTTTTTTTTTATTGGTAACTCAAGTTCCCTTTAATGTCCTCCATGTCTTTTTTTCAGGCTTACCATAAGATAAATGAAGAAAGAAAGAAATATTTAACAGAGTTGGATGAGGTCAGTGTATATGTGTTTTTTCCTTTTCTGTGATTCAGTATATTCACAAAGCCGTTTGAACAATGACTCTTGAATATTAGTTGTTAATGATTGTCTGGCCATTGACTGTGAGATTTTTCACTTGATTTTTCCTAAATAACATTATAAAACCTTACACTGTTGGGACAGAGCTTAAAAGTTTCAGTCCGCCTCTTCCCTACCTGAACTCTGCAAAAATACAAGCTTAGTAACAGTTTACATTATTTTATGTACTAGTGTAGTAACTAAGTTTCACTGCCCTATCAAGCTTTATGATCATAGTTTTGTTAGTTTGGCGATATAGCTTGCTTTAAGGATGCCCTTAAGTATATACAGAAGTTTGTAATTATGTAGAAGGAGCCTTGCTTGAAACTGAAGCTACCTTTATTTATTTTTTTTTTCAGACTGCTACAACCATTGATGAGACAAAAACTAAAACAAGACTCGCCCTAAGTGAAGCGCAGAGAGAAAATGAAGCTCAGCTACATGCTGCTAAATTAAGAAACCCTAAACAGTTTGGTTTGCCAGACAATCAGAGAATCATTGATCCAAGAAAAGGCCCTGTGAAAAAAGTTGCTGCTGTGCGCAAGCTGCCAAAACTGGAAAACCCTGGCTCAGGGGGCAGTGGATCATCTGGCAATAGTCCACGGCACAGTTAGTGTGTATGAATGGAACATAAAAAAGTGTTTAAAAATACTTTTATCGTAATAACTTTGTCAAAATATTCTAAAATGATATTATTTTAGAATGCAATATATTATAAACAATTATTAGATGAGTTTTTTGTGATATCTGGAATAATCAAGGTCAAGGTAAGTATTATCAGCTGAGCTGAAGGACGAGGCTGATAACACTTACTGAGCCCTAGATTATTTAGGATATCACAAAACCCGAATCTAATAACTGTGTTATTATACATTGTTTCAAAGAATATAACGACAAGCACAATGTTGCAAGGAACTTGAATTGATCTTGTCATTGGAAATTGTGACTCATGTAACTAATCTATAGGTTATGCTAATTTCCAAAATTAGCTGTAGGCTCTTAGCCAATGAGAGGACAGATAGTGAGTGCAATGTATGCTAAAACAGTTTATGATGCTGAGGAATGCAGTATTATGACAACCTTGTCATTGCAATCTCCTCTCCTGTTTCCTTTTTTATTCAATACATTTTGGTTGCTTGATCCACTGCAGCTTTAATGTTTACATGGAGAAAGTAGGTGTTGTTTGTAAATTGTCCAAATAAAACATAAACCAATAATACTATTATTGACAAAGGACAATCTGCAGGAAAGACTAAGTAGATGTACATAGTTGTTTGTGAAACTTGATTTGTTTTGGGGGGAAGGTACATGTACAGTATATTTTAGATATAAATAATATTGAATGTTTGAGTTATGATAACGCTCATGTATTTAACGTGAATATGATAGTGACCATGGAAAATATTGTAGCCGAGGAAAATATAATTTATTTTCATTGGGCATTGTTTATACATACAAGGACATCAAAGATTGCATATTACAACCAATGATTACCATCAGTTATTCCTTGTTTCCTGGATTTTAAACATCTACAATCCGTGTTATACATACTTTGTACAGGAGAAAATTATGTAATATCATTACAGTGTAACATATTGGTTCATTTTTTGTAAAAAGTTTTATTCAGCAGACAACAAAAAATTCTTAATTTTGTAAAATAAAGTGGCTTCTATTGCTTTATGGAAGTGTTCCTTCATCCTTTTTTTGACAATAATCTGATGTTACTTGTAGAATGAACCCTTAAAACCATATTATGAGCATGCATATTCCTCCAGTGCAGTGCAGTATAGCCCAGAGTAGTCAATCGATAAATCAACTAAAATCAGTAAATCTAATATAAAAGATAGCGATTGTATCAATAAATCGGTAGAAATTGATGACACACTTGCTTCTTTCATCAATTTATCTTGATTTTTATAGATTTCTATATACCAATTTTACACAGCAATCTAGTTCATTTATTCTCACCGATTTCTGTTATCAATCAATAAAAATCACTTGATTGCAACAGATTTTTAATCGATACTGATTTTTATCCATTGACTACTCCAGGACTGTAGTGGTCATGATGAGAGTTACAGGTGTATGATGATAATTTGAACAAATCAAAGAGCCCAACAGCTGTTAATTTTGCCACTTGATTTGCTGCCTTCTCTACAGTTAGATTTTAATAATTTTAAAATAAAAAACACGCAAATTTAGGCATTTGCCAGCTGCTACCCAGGTTATCCTGCCAACTATTTTTCTACAACTTTTTGACTGGGCAGCAAAAGATGTTTTTTGAAGCAGATCAAGACTAGTGTCAAATAAAGTTTCTTTTTTTCATATTAAAAGAGTTCCTTGTGGAATCGAAATAAACCAATGAAAACAGATGCAATTGACATAACAGCATGACTTGTGGTGATTCTGATTCCCAGAACATAAAACTCTGATTTACATCTCAGACAGTAGTTCAAGAAGGCGTCCAGTTCATGACAATTGGTAACATTTGTGGCTCCCCTGTTTAATTGCTCATACAGTTGTTCATATCGTCAAGTTACCAAGCTAGCAGACAAAAAAGGGAATGCAAACTGAATAGCTACAAACCAAGATGCTGTAACCTTGGATAACCAGATTTTGCTGATGTCATGACTTTTTTGTGAAGACTGGATAGTACTCATTATATCCAGTAATGTCAGCAGTATTACAAGTCCAAATAAACTGCTGTGAACTGTAAACCATGGGGTAAGTGACTTTAAAACCTTTTCTGAATACTTCAGGAGGCATTCATGAATTTCCTTTGCAGAATTAAAGTCAAATGAATGGAAGACACGATTTGAGACACAGCAAGAAATGAATGACCAACTTGAAAAACAAGTTATTTTATTACGGGACAAACTGGGCCAGTTAAAGATTCCTTCCCGTGATGGTAAGCTTATTGCTGCCTTCTTCAGTGTATCATGTGTTAAAAAATTATCATTTAGCAAAGTCAGTGGTGGTTAATGATACTTAGAAAAAAATTAAGAAGCAAGTACACACAAGTGCAGTCGGAGGAAAAATCAAGTGCTGGCTTAAAATTTAAGCCAGCAGCATGAAAATCAAAGCATACATTTAATGTATGCTTTGATTTTCATAAAAAATAGCAAAAGCAACTTTGATTCGCCAAAGGAATTTACGATTATTATTCGAACAGATTTATTCAGTAGCAAGCCACCAGCAGGGTTTATTTTGGACCAGAAAGTTCCTGGAATTTTATTGTGGCATTTTCAAGACTTCACCAGATATATCACTATTGGGTGAATAAGATTATGGTATGGAAACCAATGCATTATCCATTTGGATAGGAATCTATTCAGAGGTTAGCACTATCCAAATTATAAGACTGGAAAGTCCCAACAATTGTTTGCAGGTTGTGGAAATATTTAAAGATAAAATGTTCATTTTCAGTCTTTAAAAACATTCTACACGAGTCATGGAAATTATTCCACTGAAACCTACAGCAGCATGTGTCGTGACTGCATCTTAATACATGTATGTGAAATTTTGCAGGGAAGCCAAGTAACCATCTCAAAACATACAATGGCTTATCAGATGTAAGTACAATTTTTGTTTTATTACGTAGAAAATATGCTCTTGATATCATAATGTATTCATGCTTTGAATAATTTTCAAATTCTACCCAATATCCACAATATGTATTTGTAGTAAAAAGTACAGGCTTTACTTCCATTGTATCCTCACTTGTCCACCATCAGGCAGAAATCAGAAAACTTATGAAACAGCTGGAGCGAGACAAGGTGGAACTTCAAGGACAGTTGCGTGATTTGGAATGGCGCTTAGACAATGAATCTAAGGTTGGTTGGCATTTTATACTGT